CTATCTATCTATCTATCTATCTATCTAGCTATCTATCTAGCTACCTCTTTATCTATCTAGCTAGCTATCTATCTATCTATCTAGCTATCTATCTAGCCATCTATCTATCTAGCTATCTATCTAGCCATCTATCTATCGAGGTATCTAGCTATCTATCTCTCTAGCTATCTATCTATCTAGCTGGCTATCTATCTATCTAGCTATCTATCTACCAAACTATCTATCTATCCAGCTATCTATCTATCTATCTATCTATCTATCTATCTATCACATGTAATCCTGTCAGCTTTCCAGAGAAGGTTAGTTCGCAAAAACCAACTAATGTAACTTGGGTTTAAGTTTAAATTAAAAAAAGCGGGAGGGGGGGATTGGGGGGAGGGCGCGGCGCCTCCCCCCAAAGCAGAATGCAAGCACCTCTTCTCACATGTTACGTTGCTAGTTTTCAAGAGAAGGTTGGTCATGTGATACTCAGGGATGTAAATACTGTGCAAAATGCATCTTACATGAAAATCAAGTATTTAAAGCAGGCAAAGCAAAAAAAAAGCAGACAAGCAAAAAAGCAGAGAAGCAAAGAAACAGGAAACGCACAAAAGCAAAACAGCAGAAAGGCAAAGAAGCAGGAAAAGCAGAAAAGCAGAGAAACAGGAAAAGCAGGAAAAGCAGAGAAGCAAAGAAACAGGAAAAACAGAAAAGCAAAAAAGCAGAAAAGCAGAGAAGCAGAGAAGCAGGAGAAGCAGAAAAGCAAAAAAGCAGAAAAGGCGAGAAGCAGGAGAAGCAGAAAAGCAAAAAAGCAGAAAAGCAGAGAAGCAGGAAAAGCAGGAAAAGCAGGAAAAGCAGGAAAAGCAGGAAAAGCAGGAAAGCAGAGAAGCAGGAAAAGCAGGAAAAGCAGAGAAGCAGGAATCCAAAAATAATTCCTAAACCTGATCAAAAAAAAAATCCTAAAATAATTAGCCCTCCATTGATAAAACCTCTTTTTACAATGGTTCAACTTGTGCAAACTACACCCATTACAGTAAAGGTCTGTATTCTCCTGGGCCAAGTCCGGCCAAGATTTGACTCCGAAGCCCCTCCCAAGCTGCATCACTCTTTTGTCATACCTCTTTAAGCCTCTTAGGCCATCTGTGGAACATGATCACCTTGGGCCAGAGCCCGGCCCACAACATCTGGACCTGTAATCCAGACATCGCATCAACGAATTAAGCTGCACCAAGTAAGACGCAGATCTGCAAAGTCGCATTGTCATTGGGTGAAGACCACACCTCGCAGCTCAAAAGTTGAAAGTTGAGGAGCAATCTTGCACCACATGCAAAAGCCCGTCACGGATACCCCATCCTGAGCCTTTACCAAGGAGGAGGATTTGTGTGTCTGTGTTGAGAGCATTTCCAAGGTTAAGGGAAGGATTTGATCATGAACGGCAATGAACGGCACCTTTTTTATCTAGCTCTCTCTCCCTCTCTTTTTATCTCCCAAAGTCCACGTTTCATCGCCAGGCGGCATTGTCTTTAAAGCTCGTCTCTGGGCGGATGCATCGGTGCGATGCACTCGCAAACGTTCTTGTTCTCCTGGCAGGACATCTGCGAGATTCAACATGGAACCGGAGCAAAAAATATCCCCAAAACACGTGAGCTGCGCATGGAATCCGGTCATTTGGCACATAAGTATTGTGACAGGGATGGGGGCGGTTCATCCAATCCCCCTAGGCCCTAGTATTTTCACCTCTTTTGAACGAAACCATCTCCACTCCTGACTGATTCTCCAGTAAATCATGCAAATGTTCGCAGACCATCTTTGCCTAGAAAGAACATTCAACAACAAGAAAAATGTACCATTCTTCCAACAAAAAAAGGGATGTAGTCCGGCTAATTCCAACAATTCACCATGCCCACCAGGGCTTCATATTATGAAATTGGATACACTCCTTGTCAAATGTGATGGAAAAGGAAAATGACCCCCGCCCCCAGGCAGATCTCCTTGGTCTCCAGGTCCTCATCATATCGGAAGCGCAGGATTGGAAACCTGGCCACTGCGCCAATGCCGGCCCCAGAATGTCGGGATTCAAAGTTTGGATTTCGAAAACAATGCAGAGTTTAATATAGATGGCCTGTAGAAGGTGAGCATGTTATAAGTTATAAGGGTTCGTTTCTGACAAAGTGGGAGGAGCTCATGCCACCCCGCTGAGCCATGCACTTGGCGTCGGGACATGAGTGCGTAAGGCCATTGTCATCCCAACAGGGGTGGGTTCCTGAGCCAACAGCCGGCTACGGCGGCTACGGGATTAAGTGAGGATTCCCTGAACCAAAGGGACCCAGCGTCGTTGGTGGTGCTCCCCCTATCTGACAGTGCATGGGATCATCCCAATTTTCAGGGCTCAAACATCATTGAAGCAGCTGACCTGCTGAGGAATTTCCTTTGCCAAAGTCTGGATCCTTTGTTTTCTAGGTATCCTCCTAGATGAATTTGGAACATGTCCAAGCTTCGGCAAATGCAAGTCTGTTTCTCCTCGTCATAGTCCAGGATTGGATGCTCTGGGGTACAGTGCGAGTCTTTGCACAGATCCTGATGAATGACCGAATGACCTACGACCTGGGATGGGGACCTCACGCGAGCCAAGGACCCCAAAACTGGGAGGGTTGGTACACAACTACCAGAAACGATCCAACCTCTCCAGCTTTTTGGACCCTGTTGGGTTGAATCATTGAATCCATGGCCACGGTATATCGGCGTCCTTGCTGAGGTACACCGACTTGTAGTTGGGTTCCTTGCTGCAACCACAGTTGAGCTTCCCCTGGGAATCATGATAGAAGCTCAAGTACTTGTCCTCAGTCATGTGAGAAGGACTCTCCAGCAGTGAAAGTCAAAATGTGTTGGAACTCATTGAGGCCGGTCAATGCACCAAAGCTGTGGATAGGACCACGAGATTATGTGTGATTATATGTATATGCACATGGCATGTAAGAATGATATATAAGTAGACATATGCAACCTCAAATCAACCCATCTTACGGGACTGTTTTGGTTTCGGGGTCCGTGCAAAATCTCCAGGGACAGGAGTGGAAAGCTTTAGCTCTTCCAACTACAACTCGAATCTCCATCCTTTTAGTCCCACCTCACCAAACAAATCTGGGAAGTTGAGTGGTTTCACCCCACCCTCCAACCTACGGGCGCCAAGTGAGACAGCCCAAGCCCAAGCGGCCTCCGGCACATCACCCGGGCACTTGTGCTGGACACCATTGTCATCCCAGCAGGGGTGCCGCAGGCACACACACTTCTTCTGCGCAGGGTCGTAGTCCAAAATGGGGAACGTGGCATCGTTGCAAGTCCTGCGAGGACCAAAGGGACGGAATCCTTCGTCGCTCGAAATGATTCGAAAAACGAGCTGCTCCCGTGACCAACTGATTGGTCACTATTTATTAAATCATGAGTTTCAAACACCCATCCCGTATGGAAAGCACAAGACATCAAGGCCATCCCGGTCATGCGAACTCACAATTTGTTTGGGGGATGGCATCCCTGGCATCCCCAGCACCGGAAAAACCACCCTGTCCTGCCCTTACACAGCTTGGAGATGTACACGGAATTGCCTGAGACTTCCAGCAGGGCGGCGAATCCTAAGACCTCGGTCGGATCCAGCGTGTTTTCTGAGGTGTCCCGATCCAATGGCAAAGCCCTTAGAAAACGCGGGGCCGCCTAGATAGCTAAGTGGACTTATATGTTGGTTAATACCTAAGGTTTCTGGAGGATATAACTATAGTCAATGGGGTGTCTTAATCAACTTATAACTACTTATAACTGGGGGGGGCCACCTTGCACCGATTGGGGTCTAGAATCCTATTATCTGCGATGCAAATCCGGCAAACTCCATCTGACGACGGGGAAAATCAGATTCTCAACTGACTGGTCAAAAGTGGCAACAGTAGTAGTTCGACGCGTTGACATGACCAGCTGGTAGAAACTATCAGTAGTGTTGTGGCCTTTGCCTTGTTGTCTCAAGTCTTACTCCCCGCACATGCCGGAAAGTGCTCCGTATGCATTCATATACAATTATTTATATATATATATTTTATATATATATACACACATATGCATCAGCCATTATACATATACATAAGCATAACTACATCTCATTGAAGCACCTTTTCATTCAATGGAAGCAGACCAAAAACATGACAAATCTATCAAATGATTCAAATGTTTAACCCCATCCAGCAGAATTCAAGCTACGGTACCCACTGAATCATTTTCCCTCGCCCACAGCTCACACGGCACAATCCCGGCTCGCAGCTGAGAACCAAAATGCCGAGACGGAGTCCGGGTTTTGGGGATCGCTCGAAAAGAGGTACCACTGGTTAAAATGCTCATGCAGCTCTTTGCGAGAAAAGGAAGCATGATACCTTTGAATCCTTGACATCCTCCACACTTTGTTTGTAGATTTTTAACTCCAAAAAAAACTTATTCAATTGGGATCATCATTCCTGGTAGGAGTGATGATCATAACATAATTTACAGACCAACCAGTATCCAGTATGCATGTTATATATATATATACATATGAAATTAAACAATAAATACATAAGTAGACATACATATGTGCATAAATATATGTAGTGTGTTCACATGCATGATTGAAACCTCCCGAATATGTTATGTAATCCAGCTTCATCCAGCGTTTTTGGCCTCATTGGTGCCGCGTCATCTTGTGGTTCTTCAGCTCTGCCTTCGCCCAAAAAACGCCTCCGATCGACCTTCTGAGATTCTCCATCCAAAAGATGCAATCCTTAAGAATGGATCCAGACCAACAAAACTGGAAAAAGATAAAAAAATAATAATATATATATATATAATATATATATAAAACTGGGACCTTGGTGATTTTCGTGTTTTTAGTACTGCTCCTCCCACCTTGGGCACATGCCCCAGCCGGCCCTCCAAGGTCCGCGTGGCCAGGCACGACTCGATGTTGCGCTGCAGAGCCGCAACCGCCTGACATAGCTATGGAATGCTATGGACATCCATGGATTTTCACATAAAAAAAATATACAAATGGTGACGCTTCCATAGCTATGTTAGTTAAGTCTACTGGAGGGTCAACTAAGTAAATCTTCAAGTTTGATGGGTTTGCACCACCCATTTCTGGTCGCTTGGGTTTGCCACATGAAAACGTGCCAGAAACAATCCATTTGGAAGTCATTTGACACATTTCAATAATCCGCTTTACATTCTTGAGGCAAAGGGGTAATTAAGGGACGAAAGGAGGAATGGTTCAGTGAAAGAGCGGTGTGTTAGGAATTGGGAGATACGAAGTGCAGAGGAAATCTGATGACGCTGATGTTGCTTGCGACGATATGGCAACACTTTGAGCCACGGCAACACTGCTTCAAAAAAAACAGAGGGGGGTGGATACAGTAGTTAATTAACTGTCAAGTTTCACCTGATTGGTGACTTCGGCCCCTGCCAATGCCTTGCTAAAGCAAGAGGGACTTCAGCTAGCAGAAGCTAGTTTTTCTCATTAAATCCCAACTGGGGATGCCTTATAAATCCCATTTCCCGCACACTCAATACCCCCTAAGATTGGGGAGGATCTCTGATCCCAGCAACGCAAATTTGACATGTTTGATTGTTGGATTTGCCAGAGGTCCAGAACCCTTGCATTTCAATGCCGCTTTGCTGGGCCCATCAACGTTTTGTATGGACACCCTAAAAATTGGGACATCCCTTACGGCCCAGTGCCTTTCACCGGTCCACCTTAAGTCGCCCCTGTCCGCCTGCGGATCTTCAGCACTGCCAAACCACACCTGCAGCTCCCAACGACTGGGCGAAGTGATGGCCCAAAGCATCCTACCAAATGGCCAGAGTCACACTTCATTTTTAAAATTGCATGATATATTCCTCTATATATATATATACAGGGGGATTACTCATATAGCTACGGTACACAGAGGTGATTCATCCCTTGGAAGGATGTACAGCCTGCTCATTTGGTGCTCGAAACTCTGGACCCTCAAAGTTGGATGACTTCGCCATATAATTCACAAAAACAAAAGCAAACCATAGATTGGATATCAAATAATCTCTATACATACTTCATTGAAATACCACAACAGAAATTGTGAGGCAGCCCACATTTGGCTATATATATATATATATGTATATATATATGTATATAATCTAATTTATTGACGTCTGCAAACTGTGAATCGGTGGTAAAATTCATGATGTATCCACACAAAAATGGAAAATGTCGACTCAAGTTTCCATGATGCCTCGATTCGAAGGGTGCTGGGAACTCCACCTTTGGGGCCCGTGATCTTGTCCTGGCAGCACTGGCAAATCGCCATGACATAAAGTTGTCAAATTTTTGGTGGAAAAACGGGCTGAAGATGGGTCAAAGGCGGCTTTAACACGTTTGACTGTTTAACCCATGTGGTTTTGAAGTGGAACAAATCCGAAAGAACTGTCCATGGCAGTAGGTTGGCAGACATGCCCCTGCAGCCTCACCCAGCCCCCGCTCCACCAAACGCAGGCCGGTGATCATGTCCGGTTCCAGCGTGTTGCCCAAAGTTCCCAGCACAACGTTGTTCCAGTACTCATCCTGGATTTCACTTGGGGGGTTGGACGAAAGGTAGTACATGTGGGGGAAAGGGAAGAGGTAAGCAGCAGCGCCATGGCTGATTTCGACAACATGGTCGGAAGGTGGGCTGGGACATTGTTTGCGAGAGTTATTCGAAACTGACATGAGTTCTGATCAATAAGGATACGATGGTGATGTTCTTCCGCAGTATCATACCTGATGCCAGACATTGGAGTAGATGCTGAACTGCGTCCGCGGTGCAATGGGTGGGACTCTTGGTGGTTGTGCGATGGAAGACGTCGAAAGCGTTCATGTTGGTTTTCTTGTTTTGTCGTAGGCATTTTGAGAGCGGCGACTTATTCGTGCTAGCTGCTGCAGTCGTGCGCTTAAAGCTTCGTAACGCCATTATAGTGCGATTATATCTCGGGGATTGAAAGCACCTTTTGCGTCCACCTTGCCTCCTGGTGATCGCAATTGCAGCAAGCAAAGCTGCGAATTGCCTCTATATTGCGATTATATCTCGTTGATTGAAAGCAAGTCTTGCATCCACCTTGCCTTCATTGGTGATCGCAATGACTTTGGCTCTATCTCGGGCCACACACATTCAAAGACACTTTGCTTATTATATAAGTCATGAAACAATATTAATATGTGTACTGGATCCTGTTTCCATGCCCTCTTCATCCGAACACAGCAACATCATCACCAGCAACATCATTAAGTCGGATGATTTCAACCCAACCTTATAGAAGTGGGTCGGATGAATGCAACCTTAATGGCCTGAGGTGGAGACTTTTATGTCCACCTCAGATTTTGGTGCATTTTTTCCGAAACATTTGCTGACCTCTTCGTGTTGCCTCTTGCCGTGGTGCATTGTGCAACCTCGTCGTTTTTTTGTGGTGTTTATGTTAGATGCATCTGCATTTTACCGGAAGAGTAGGTTTTTTTTTGGGGGGGGCAGGCAGGGAACAGAACTTCAGCCAAGCCAAGGGTGTGAAGCGATGAAGAGATCATACAGACTGTCTCTGTAGGTAGATGTTTGGAACATCATTGCTACCTGAGTGTTTCCATGGAAACCTCCGCGACTTGTGGTGACTTCAGCGAATTCATTGGTGCAAGAGTCTGGGGTTGTGTGTGTGCACTCAAAGACGCTTGCCAATAATCTTCTTACTTGGTAGCTGTTGTTGTGGCATTAGTTCTCTGCGTTTGCGCTTGTACAGTCGTGTACGTGCCAGTGCAATTTTTCGGTTCTCACTGTGGCTGCTCATGTACGTGCAATTTCCGGCTATCACTGTGGCTGTCACGGTCGCTATTGTTGCTGCTGTTGTTGTTGATAATGATGATATGATTGATGATGATAGTGATCATGGTGATGATGATGATGATGCTGATGCTGATGCTGATGCTGGTGATGATGTTGCTGTGATCGATGAAAAGGGCATGGAAACAGGATCAGCACACATATTAATATTGAATATTGTTTCATGACTTATATAAGCAAGTGTCTTTCACGATCACCGACGAAGGCAAGGTGGGCGCAAAACTTGCTTTCACTCACCCAGATATAATCGCACTATAATGGCGTTACGAAGCTTTAAGCGCACGACTGCAGCAGCTAGCACGAATAAGTCGCCGCTCTCAAAATGCCTACGACAAAACAAGAAAACCAACATGAACGCTTTCGACGTCTTCCATCGCACAACCACCAAGAGTCCCACTCATTGCACCGCGGACGCAGTTCAGCATCTACTCCAATGTCTGGCATCAGGTATGATACTGCGGAAGAATATCACCATCGTATCCTTATTGATCAGAACTCATGTCAGTTTCGAATAACTCTCGCAAACAATGTCCCAGCCCACCTTCCGACCATGTTGTCGAGATCAGCCATGGTGACATACCAATTGCAAGGCAAATCCACAGTCCACTGACAGTGATCTTGCTAAAACCTATAACATTTCGATGCACGATACAAATCTCCCAAAAAATGATACAGATACATTTATATAATTTATATACTATTTTCTGCAAATGTGCACACAATGAACATGCTGCATTGACATACTCCGCTGAGGTCGTCTCTATACATGATAGCCTCACAACAATCCTACTTTTCAAGCCTCAAACTGACTCGGACCAGAGAGGAATCGAAGAGGGGTGGGCCCCCCTAAAGACTAAAACAAAAACATGACGGAAAAAAAATCCGGGATTGGAGGCAGACCCTGCCACAAATACTTTAGAGTACTACAGTACATGGAACTCAAGTAGCCTACGCTACCTTTCGTGATCATGAAACGCCAGCCCAAAACAGCCCCAAAATCATCATCAAATTATACAATCTGTTCCGTTCACTTTGTGGGGATGGTACCAGGGCGAACTGACCCCCACCAGAACCCAGTCATCTCTTGCATGAAGTCATGGTAGCACAATCTAGCCGCTTGGAATCTCGCTCATAGAAACAAACACCACTCCGCAGGACCTGTTCACACTACCTCTGGCAAACATGGCCGGATATTCAGGAGATAACCCAAAACATATATCCAATTGATAGGCGAAATTGGATATATATATATATATGTGGTGATTAAATTAGTTATATACAATACAATATATCCAATATCCAATTGGTATCAGATATTAGCTATGGCCCCTTCAAAAATCCAATGGTTTTCAGCCATCATGCGCTAAGCTCCAGACCAGCTGTGCTGCCCCAGTGGAGGTCTCAGACGTGGGATGAAAACATGGAGAAAAGGAAAACATCGAAAATCTGGAATATAGGGAAATATGAATGTATTATTTTCTTTCTGCACCGTTCATTCTCACAAGATACAACAACAGCTTCACTTGCACAACTGTTCAGCTGCTTCTCTCCTTTGACACGGGGGAATGCCAAGTCTGCTGAAAGGCCCACCAAGCCGTACGGTTGGGCTACGCATATGGTACATGGAACCTGTGGGATTTACCAACAAAATTGGTCTGAAACTGTAACATCTGACACATGTTGTGTCTGAAGCGTCTGATGATGTCTTCTGTGAAGATGATGAAGGCATGAAGTACTGCTCGTGCTTGAAGAAGTTGCTGATAGTGAGGCCCATGCTGGTAGTTGCTCTCTTCAAGCTTGTCGGTGACTTCATCCAAGGTATTGATGGAATTGGCCGTCATTTCACGGAGCAGCACGCCATTCTGGTATCTTTGGAGCTCGGCCAGAAATGCGACTTTGTCTGGACGAATCTTGTTGGCTATGGGTGGTGGGCGGGCGAAATTCGGCCAACTGAAAACGGTGACCCAGCCTCCACTCCCTTGACAGGAACTGCAGGAAATAGAACAGGTTTCTCAAAAAGACGTTCGAATGAATGCAAGCTTGTTTTCCATGGCATGTAAAACAAGGAAGCTTCAAGAAAATAAATAGTTCGTTTGTCTGCGCCAACTGCCTACACTAATTTCTTTCCGCACGATTCAGTCTCACAAGATACAACAACAGCTTCACTTCCACAACTGTTCAGCTGCTTCTCTCCTTTGACACGGGGGGATGCCAAGTCTGTTGGAAAAGCCCTCCAAGCCTCCCCCTTCTCTCAGGGGCTTTCTCCAAAACCTGTCTTCCGAATTTCTTTAAACTCCGGGAGGTCGACCCTCAAGGTCTGCAGAAGAACCTCATGTTCCTTCTCTCTAGAAGGGAAATCAACCAAGTTACACTCAGTAGGGACACGTGCATATCAGGGAAAGATGCACCACTCCAATTCGAGCTTAGCTATGGCAAAGACAATGTCCTGGAGGTTAGGGTTGCTGGCATATCCCTTGAAGATGAGGAAGCGACACCCGTCGTTGTCTAGAAAGATGACCACGTGCTTTTTTCGCCAGCTTCTTCCCCCAGAGATGGAATGCCACCAGCACCGCAAAGGCTTCGAGTTCCTCGATTGCCTGCTCCTGATCCTCATCCATGAACGAACGACAAAAGCTGGCATCCGTGAAGATGCAAAGCACTTCGTCAGCGTTGGCGTCTACAAGTCTGGGCGGGGAGTGTAGCATCTGAGCGGCTACCGCTTCCAGGGCCCTTTCCGTGTGCTCCAACACTTTGTTCTGCTTTGGAGGTCGCACCGCATGGACGCCCAGCTCGTTGATCAACCGCCTTGTTGAGCGGCCAAAGAGTTGATCCTCAGCAAACCCCAGCCGGCCTTTGAGTGACGGTGTAGCCGTCGCTGTCAATGTCCCTTCATCCAGCGTCTTGGCGATCTTTTGAACTTCCAGGAGGCCATCGGAGGTCTTCTCGAAGCTGAAAACGACGCCCCAAGGGCTGAAACTATGGCACCCATCTCTGAGGCCTTCTCACCAATTTTTTCAAACTTCCTCCCCAGGATGTCGAGAAGGGTCTCGAAGTTCAACTCAGCACTTTTCGCAAGGATCGGGCTCGACATGCATACGAAATCATCAAAGTAGCATGTGAGGACAACGCTAACCTTGAGACAGATCCACTGGAGCATCCTGGCACATCTAAGAAAAGCAACCACGCTACTTTTGGCTCCAAAATGGAGGCTGTACTGCTGGAAGCATTTGGTCTTCTCCTCGCCTGGATCATACACAGCCAACCTCGCCCACTTCAATGAAGAGTCTGACACAGCAAGTTGGCGATAAGCACTTTGAGGTCGAAGCTACGTCCCACGAGGCGACTGCTTTTCTTTGCCTTCCGCGGCCCCTTCATGAACTCACAGACAATGGCTGCGATCGTGCCGACCCTATCCACAGTAAACTTGTTTGCAATGGTCACTCCACTGTTGACCTGAGACTCGCTGTAGTTGTCAATCGGCCGCACCTTCTCCGACTGGACAACAGCAAACGTTCGCGAGACGGGTCCTCCATCTTTTTCTAATGGCTCCAACCAGCCCCTGGCTGCTTCTTCCAAGGTCTCTTGCCAAAGCTCGGAATCTACAGTGGCAGTTCCACTTGACTTGCAGGAGTTCATGATCGCCTTGTTGCTCTTGTGCGCCTGCTCTTCCAAATCAGCGATGGACAAAGTGGCAGGCTGGAAATCATGAGGAAGGAGACCCTCTGCACCTGAAGTCCCAACTAAGTCAAAGCCGTTCATGGTATCCTCCACGATGGTCTGGTGAGGGAACTGCATCTGGGCCAACATCTCTTTCAAAACCAGCCACCTTTTCCCTTTGGGAATCTTTTGCCTATGTTTTGGAAAGCTTTCATGAAGTTTCTTTTCTTCGGCTTCCAGTTGCATAGCTCTGGTTGTCCACTTCTTCAAGAAAGCGGCTCTATCTCTTGCTATTGCTGCTGGAACTTTTGTGACATTTTCTTGGATGGCTTCTTTCACTCCATCTGCGAGGCCATCAAAAATGCTTGCTGGGTGTCCTCACTCCAGGGCTTCTTGAATGAAGCTCTCGACCGCCCATGGGGCTCCAATTGCAATTTCCCACAGTTGGCTCTCCTCCCCCTTCTTGTCAATCGCTTTCTGCGTAATGCGCAAAACGCGACCATTAGCAGGGAAGGAGACTCCGTCGATGACTACATCATCTTTGAGTTTGGCGCCAACATTCAAAGGTGGAGCCTTGGAAATGATGTTGACCACAACGTGGCTCCACTCTGGTATGAAGGCTAAAGACTTCTTGGTCTGGTTGTACGCCAAGGCTCTAGCTCGCTTGTCTGGGTGAGCTGGGAGTGCTGTTCGAGGTTGAATGTACTCTGGCTTGATGAAGTCGTGCACCAACTGCGCCCAGCGCTTGCTAATGGGTATTCAACTTCATCGGCCATGGCAAAACCCCAAGGGGCCATTCCCCATGGTAAGTGCACATGCTGGTTGGTGCACTCAGCCGCAAGTGCCTGCAAACACTCCAAATCACTTGCTTTAGACTTGCTTTCTTTGGTCGCATGCCACCAAACATGCAGCTATGAAATGTGACCTCGAGAACTGTTGCCCAAAAGGAAGTAAGCCAAAAGATGCTCCTCGCAGGTTGCTCCACGGACCAGTGCACACCAAGCTGATGACAAAGAAGTTGCAACCTGCATGCTGCAGCATAGACTTTGTTTGCGAGGTCTAAACGTTCCTTGTCTTGCTGAGTCAAGTTGGGAATACCGTCTGGGAATTCATCACTGCGCAGTGGTTTGGGCCCGTGATGCTTGGAGCTCATTGGAATTTCACGGGCACGCGAGGTCGTCCTACATGGTAAACCAAAATGGTAGTACTTGCACTTGTTCCCAGGTCTACTTTCACAATTGGTGCTTTGCTCGATCCCGTGACCACTCTGTCAACTCCAAATGATGCCATCATCCCTACCTTCCTGAATTGAGCTGTCAAACCTCCTGTGCCGGAACAGAATTCAATGGCAAATGGCGCACTCCCATCACGAGGTCGTGAATGTTGTTGCGGCAGATGATGTTCCACAGCGGGTGCAAGTTGGCTTCCATCTCCGTCACGGGTTTCTGGTGATACATCCATCGGCAGAGCTTCATCAGCAGGTTGGCTCGTGCATCTAATTTCCTTGGGCTCGAGGCCCGATGGTGTTGTAGTCAAAACAAAGCCGGGAACCGTCGGGCAAGCAAGATGCGCAACCCTTCAAAGCCAATGGAAGTTTTCCTCCGGAGGGGAAGCCGCCTTGCTTTTGGTTCTTGCCCGTCTTCCACACCTTGTTGCTGGCGCGGTAAGTGGCTTTGCCGCCGCATTCCCGCGCAGTCCATTCCTTCTTGGGCTCTGGCTTGGCCGTTGCTTTGGGTTGAGGTGGAGCAGCCTGCGTGGGTAGCATGTAGTACATGACCGTGTGATCGTTGCGCGGCTGCTCAACCACTGCATCGAGGGTGCGCTTTTATGTGGTGGTGGCTTGATGCCATCTCTAGTCAACTCCTGCATCCTCACAAAGGCTTGCCGGTCTGCACACATCAGCTGAGTGATATTGGGCTGCTTGAACCCTGGCGGCGCTGGCTGCCTCATGATTTGAAACAAGTGCCCCGCAACGTCGAATACCAGGCTTCTCCTCGTCATCGCTTCCATGACGTCAAGCTCAGTACCTACCCGGCATTGCTGCCCAAACGCAGCTCCATCCTGGGTATGCACTTGGCTGGATTCAAATACTTCAGGGAATCAGCCTGCATCATGCCACTCACGGTGTCATAAACGCAGGGAGCCACCTCAAGAGGACCCTCGTGCGTCAGCCCGGACAACCTGTCTCTCTGTTCAGAGATTCTCGCCATTTCTCTCTGCAGCCGGGAGCTTGTTCTGCGTCGGGTCTGCAGCTGGATCTGCTGATGCCCTTGCTTGGGCTTCAAACACAAGCCTCCTCATGGTCGCCACATCTCCGACAGTGTTGAGCCTTCTCGGGGCTGCGTCAGTCAGCAGCTGCCGGATGGCTGCCTCAGTGGCTGCGGCCCCAGGCTGTCCACAGGCAACGTCCCAGTGTGTTCACTCCAGATGCTTTGAGACCAGTGAGATATTCTTCATGGAGCCCGAGTTGTTTGGCCTGTCTCTAGAAGGCAACAGAGCTATCGGTCAGGTTCATGGCAGCCATAGTTCCCTAAAGAAAACGTGATGTTTCTGAGATGTTGGAAACAACCACAAACAAAACGACATACGTCTGCACTTCTCTTGGATTTCTCACTTGAAAATCGCGAGCTGTGAGTTTCAGCTCTGTCACTGGGCAATTTCAGACCACATGTCGCGAGTGGTACCTCATGTTGCAAAATACCTCTTGTGAATTGTCGCCGTAAACCTCATGTCAACCTGCTTCCTCATGACGTGGAGTGCAAGCATGCATACACCAGGTGCAGGTCTCAACTGCCCCAAAAGAAACTCACAATCTGATTTGGAACAAAATAATTCAACACAGCACATGCACAAAACATGAAATAAAATCAGCATGAAATGGATACCGCATGTGCAAGGGAAAACATAAAATGAGATTGCTGCTGACCTTCTCAAAGATACCAAGACACAATGCACGACCAATTACCACATGTTCGGTCTTCCGACAGACTGGCTCTTTGTCTCGGAGCACACGTCTGCTCGTTTGCTGTCCTCAGCTCGAACGTTTACGCTTGCTGGCACAAAAGACTGCTAGGCTAGCGCTAGGTGCACTGACTTTAAAAGCATCGACTGCACCCTCTCCATTCGAATGCTGCACCGTAGGATTCTGTGACCGGCTGCAACTTGTTCTTGAGATCCTGAGAACGAAGGTGAAGCATTCTGCTCCCCTTGTATTGCATCAGTCTGCCGTCAACAGCTTGAGGGACTCCACTGCTACTGACGCTGTCAAATTTCTTGTGGAAGATGTTCATTCGCCTCTGTTGCGCATTCGCTCTCTTCTGGGTCTGAGCTGGGGCTCTCCAGCAGCTCGTTGGCATAGACAACCTGGCCCTCTTCGAAGATCTCAAAGCCAGCCTCTGCATGCTGCTCCTCATTGAATGGATTTGAGGGTTAAACGCGGCAGTTACAGAAGGGTCGGCAACCCCTGCATCAGACTCTCCAGGCGGCTCTTCAGCCAAGCTTGGGCTAGGAACCACGCTAGCTGGTGGAGGGGGCGCATCACCATCCCGGCAAGTGTCTTGCCTGTTGCGCCTCTTGGACCTCCTTCATGTAGCCGGATCTAATTCAGTCGGGGTTGAAATGGCCCGGCCGAATATTCAAGAGCATCCCACACAATTCTCGAAGTGGCCTGGCAAGAAGATCACGTGAGTAGCAGGCCAAAGGTTTGTCCTTGATGGCATGGTGCCCCAACATCGCACGGCCGGTATCATCTATACCATACCTGGCAAACCATACCAAAGTCGTAGCCTTCAAACTGTGTGAACTCGTGGCCTCTCCTTGGTCTCGGCGATTCCCGGGAAGTCGTTGGGCATGGAGGAAGACCCCTCAGCCGATGTCAGGGGTCTCTTTGTGAAGCGACCTCTTCCAAAACTTCCTTCCATGCCAATGCCCAAGCTCTGTCACCTGCTCCGTCTATCTGGGCAACAAACGGAAGGTACACAGCCTTCTTCTCTGCTGTTTTCGAGGTCTTGTGAATCCTCGTCCTACCCTCTACAAAGCCAAAGGGGCCGTCGTCCGTCTCCATGATGTCGAAGCCAAACTCTGCATCGGAGAAAGGTCTGACCACCTCGCTCTGGAAAACAGCGCGGACAACATGCAACCAGCAAAGTATCTGTCCAGGAGGGTGTGCAAAGAAAACACCATCGCCTCCAACTTTCGCACCTCTTCCATGGTGAGTGCTCTAGCTTGCTGAGTTGGTTCCCTCGTTGCCAGGACTCTCAGCACTCTGCCTTGAAGTAAGGTCCCATCACGTTCGGGAGCTCAATGTCGGCACCATGACGTACTTGAAAAACTTACTGGCATGGACCAAGTTTTTACCGATGAACTTGCTCCTAGACCCTGCTTCACATTGACTGAGAAAGTCCAAGAGGTTCTTTTCAGCAAGTGGCCACCATGGCCTGTGTACGTTAATGCATCAGTTGATGAACTCCTGTATATCACGGGCTCGTTTCAGGACAGTGGCTGGAGACCGGACTCCACATGCATCTCTGATGTAGGTCAGAGACCCTTCACGATCCTGATCTGAAAGTTTCCCCAAGACATACGTTCCTGCATTGGATTCGAAGCCGCTGCTCTCCAGAATGGTGAGCCAACACGCCAAAGCCCTCGCCCATTTGAGATCCAAGGCTTGCCTGTAGTCAGTGTCACAAAGGGCTTTGACATGTTTTGCAAACATGGGAAGGCGGTAGCTCTGCGCCGCACTTGAAGACTGGAAAGGCAGGTAAAGGTGTGCTATCATTTTCGACTGGTAGTCCAAGAGGATCAGCTGTTCCAAAGATTTGTGCAAATACACCTTCTTCCCACGGCAGCTTCGGCAACCCTGCACTACGCTCATTTTTCAAACTGGTCAGCCATAGCAGGGGGATGACTTGCAGGTTCCCAGTACTCCTCATCGAACTGGTCATCCTGGGCACTCCAGCGTTCAGCTTCCGTACCATCATCCATCATCATAGGAGCCATGGACAACGTCGGGCCCAAGAGCATCAGAAGGCTCCTTGCCCACACCACCATCCAAGCCCACCCACCCTCCACTCCCTTGACAGGAACTGCAGGAAATAAAACAGAATCTCAAAACGACGTTCGAATGAATGCAAGTTTGTTTTCCATGACACGTGAAACTAAGAAGCTTCAAGAAAATAGATGGTTCGTTTGTCTGCGCCAACTGCCTACACTTGTTGATCCAAAAATTCTGGGGTAAAATGGGAATTGGATAAAGGTAAAACAAGATAAAACAAGTATATTGTAAAGTTCGCTGGTAATCCAGCATAGCAGTGGAAAGTCTGCCAGCTCTGGATGATCCTACAGTTTTTGAAAATTTGGACTTCCCAGTGTCATATATGCTTGCATATCAGAGTTAAAGAAGGACGACATCTGCACATGAATACATCCTTCTGATACATTTCTTGCTTTTGCTGTTTCCGCAGCTGCCAGCTGGCATAGAACACTATCCTAGCACAAAACTTTGTAAAGGACAAGTTGCCGATTCTCTGCCCAGGGTGAATCTCAGAACATCTCAGAACCAACCACCACCTTACACCCTCGTGAAGTTCAGGGATTCGCAAAGCTCACCTCAAAAAGAAAGCCCCTGCCTTGAAATGAAACTGGAAATGTCCGCCTTCAGAGTTTGCTGCATCCTGGCCAACTTCGCAAGAATGGACTCCAACATCAAAGCTTGCTGGCACATAATCCCAGGTGAGCGAGCTGAACACTTTTTCTTGAACACGCTGAAGTTTCTGCGGTGAGTCTGACCAAGTGGTTTTGACTCAGTGACTACCATACACCCTTCATGGTTTCAATTCACCAGTTTCGACCGGACTCCAGCACCACAGCCAGATTCAAAGGTCCCAGATAGCTAAAACGGTTGCATGGCCCTTTGAATTTTCCCAACTACTCCATGCCAAGTGGGAAAATCATCTAACGACCGAATAATTTTCAAGTTGTCCAGTGCCAAATTAGTTGGCCGGCGGCGTATGAATCACTGCCAAGTTGAAGTGTGGTCTTCCCAGTCATTTTTCTTGCCACGCACCTCCCACTGAGGCAACACCCCTTCCCGGAAGATCATCAAGGCATCCACATAGTGGCAATCCTGTCACACAAGTCTCTAATGACCACTGGCACCAGAGTTTCTGGCCCTGACCAACAGCACTCGTATTTGTGGCGCTTACCTTCTGGTAATCAAACATGGTTTGCTGGAAAATCCCTCGTTTACAGATGATTTTCTCAATTCCCATTGCCATGTTTGATTATCTACGTTTTGTGGGTCAAGACCTCCATGGGCCATTTGGTTTCCAGGTCCACCATGTATCTATCCACCATGGTCCTCAGAGCCGTCCAGGTTCTTTTCAGCCATACGCCTGCAGGCATGGCACTAGCCACCGATACGAATGGAAACGTCCAAGGATGTGGATGCCATGATCTGATGCGAATAATTTTTGATTCTCATTACAAATGCATTACGAACCAGGGCCAAAGGTAAAATATACATACACATATGTAGACGCAAAGTTATAGACACAAAATTATTGTATTATGTCATGTGAAACGCATGAAAACACGCAAGGCTGCTGCTTCCCACAAGGCAATCCGCACTCCTCGTCAGCAAGTCGCTGGGTTGCGGCAAGCGCTCCCAGGTCTGCCAAAACTCCTAGTCGTCTTCTTAAAACATTGCTGTGGCTGCCACAACTTTGATCCCATGGACAAAGCGATGAAGCAATTAGTTTCAATTTTGGAAACACTTCTTAGGGTATGAGTTGTGTGTTTCGGGACGTCGTTCCACCCATGGTCTATGGTCAACTTAGGTAACAACCAACTAACAAATTAGTAGCTGAAACACATCACCGGATACATGTGAAGACCAAAAATAATTTCTGTGAATACTGGCATGTAGGTTGAATTCAGTAAAACGTCTTTATGCTTGCGCACTAACAGATTGTGGCCACATGGGTTGCAAAAACTTCCATGATTTGAGCTAGTCAAAACAAAAACAAAAAAAAACTGGACTCGACCCCTGGAAATGACAGAACCACTGACTTGGATTAGCTGGTAAGCAGTGAGTCGCCGAAAAATAAATGGAAACATGTTTTCTGGGAAATATATTGCCAAAAAAAACGGAAAATGATCAAATCCAATTTTCACTTTGGGAAGGCCAAATTTCCAGCCCCGCAGCCTCCACCGAAGAAATGGACGCAATCCTCAACCATCCGTGCCACGGAAACAACGTTTGCGGTGCAACTCTGCCTTGATGCGCTAAACCCAATATAGACCAATAACAAAGCCTATGGTGCAGCATAGTTGGTAATTTTCTACCACCATTTGAATCCATCCAAGTCTGTTTTTCCTTGACCTCTTCAAAGATTTTGGCCACGGAACTGTTTTGTGGACTCCTCATAATGCGAAGAGCTTGTCCCACTGGTGCTCTTGGGGGCAGCCCGCTGCTGCCAAACAACCCAAGAGCATTTGAGCGGTAAATCATCCATGAGCGAATCCTGGTGGCAGATGAGCGCCAAAAAAAACGAAATGCCCTAGAGAAAAATAATCATTTAAATTCATTTAAACATCATTTAAACATAGATAATTTAGAAAGTTTATAAATGAACGATTTTCCATTGCTATGGTTATGTTTGGTTAGCGAAGGGTAAAACAAACGCAAACTGATATTTTTTATGAATGTGCCACCTTGAACAAGACATTCGCTCTCCCAGTGAAACCCCTCCAGTCCCGGCTCCTCATCACCATGCAATTCCGCCACTTCATCAGGAGCCGTCACTGCCGAGTTGAAACCTCAAAATGGTGAAGGTTGAAAGCTGTTCATGTCTGTTAAGGATGGGTGGGAGGCCATCAGCTATCAGCAAAGCAAACCAAAGATATCAACCGCACACTATGGCCATGCAATATCATGACGAGGAGGGGCGGGAATATCTTAAAAAAATGTTTGGTGATATCGTCGCTGCTTATTTTTGAGGTTGTTCATCTCTTTGGTGGTGGTCAAACCAACAAGCACCAAAAAAAAAACATGTTTTGCTGACGCTATACCTTTTCCGATATCACTACATTTCTTTCAGGATGGCTACGCATTGGCTGCGGCCATGCAAAAATTGAGGGCCAAACTCAGGAACACCATGACGGCATCAATCAAAACATGGACAAAACAATGTGATGCATCGGTCTTTGGATTTAACTTGCTTTGGCAGAGGAATGTACAATACAACAACATCAGCATGATGGAATTATATGACAAGGCCGCTGGGAAATAAATGCGCTGGCATTGTGTGTCACTGGATGTTTGAACCAATGACAACAAAGCTCTATATGGATACAAACTGGCTGAAATGATCACCTTGACTTTTGACATTCGCACAAACCCTTCCATCCAGAACCTGAACTACATGCAAGGCGTGTTTTGGCTGACTTGGACAAAAAAGAACGTAAAAACTTCGCACCTCTTGATAACAACTGCTTCAGAGACACGAAACAAACAAACCCATCCGTAGTTTCAAGTGTTCCTTTGCTTTGTTCACACCAAAACCGGTGAAACCTATACTTTTCACTGAAACAGAATGGAGCCTGCAAAGCATGAAGCAATGAAGCCTGCAAACATCATCGCGCAATCGTCACAAGCGTTCACAACGACCGCCCCCAGAGGCACCAAAACCCCAGGAATCACGGACCAACAAAACTGGACAACCTTTTGCTCATCGACAAACATCGGGTAGCCACAATAGCTGGTGCTGCATCCAGCCAAAAACTTTTCGCGAAACTGCTTTCAACAACAATTTGCTTAGCAAATCATGCAATTTGATTGGGGGCCGACGACTTGTTATTGTTTCAAAATAAATTTGCCGATTTGATATGGTCTCAAACAGAATGCCCGGATTGTCCGCACTGGCGGCGTTTCAAGGTGTGAGAGGTGAAGTGGATCTTTTCGCGCCATTGTGTTGTGTGAGGCAACCTAGCAGATCGCCGTAGAATGGTGCTCACGCAGATGTTGGAGCTGGTTCGGCGATGTGGTAGTGACGCGACGAAATGCTGTAAACTACAGCCCGTGCATGGTGGTTCTGGCGTCGAGATTGGGGCGGCCCGTGTTTCGGCCGTTGCGTTTTTTTTTTGCATGCCCGGATTGTTTCGCATTGCTGGCGGCTTTTCACAGTGTGAGTGTGAGACGTGAAGCGGATGTTTTTCGTGCCATTGCGTTTTTGTGAGCCAGGGTTGCAGATCGCGAGTGGCCCGTGGAAAAGCAGCTAACAACTGAGTAATAGGAACAAGGTCCCTCGCTCAAGTGCCAAAAGCCCCAGGGAAGGAAAAAAACGACAAAAACGACAAACTAGGTGGGAAAAGAAAGAAAGAAAGGAAAGAAAGAAGGAAAGAATGAAAAAAAAAATGATAAAAAAAACGTACTCACCTGCGCTGACACAGATACCCTGCGAACTTCCATAACCAAACAAAAACACTTGAACACCGATAGGAAACCATTCACTGCAGCAGCACCAAGATTCTGACATGTCACTGGCAACAAACATGCCTGCTGACACTGCAGGTCAAAAATTTGGAATGCTGCTGCATGCAATTTTTTCCCGCGGAAGGCGGCTCTCTTATATAAGTTTTTCGCCGGCGTTGGAGTTTCCACACAACGTCAACCCACTTCAGGACACTGGTTGCATCCGGCAGGTTGGACCCCACATGAAGTCTCGTGGTCTCATCAGCAGAGTCCAAAACGTGCCCAATCAATTTGTAGGTCTCAACACAGTCGAAAAACAGGTGCAAGGTGCACTAAAGCACATCCTTTTTGCAGAATCAGCATCAACACAATGCTCAAATGATCATGCATGTCTCTGCTCGGGCTCTGCTAGGAATTTACGACCGCAAGAAAATTTAACACGGGAAAGGCAAGCAGCCGCGGCAGCGACGTGGTCTTGCAGGTGTGTTTGACAAACGGTAAAGAAACCATCTAACATCAAAAAGTCGCAACTTGCAAGATTTTAGTTTATTCAACGCAGCGAGGTTAACGAATGTTTCTGCGAACGTGCGTGGCCTTTGCACATGACCATGCTAGTAAGGAATAGTTTGGGACCTAGTGCAAACTTAATAAAATATTTACGGTATGTATTCATGTAATCATTCATAGATACATAAATTCATAAATTCATATAAATTCATAAATTCATTGATTCATTGATTCATTGACTCGTTGATTCATTGATTCATTGCTTCATTGCTTCATTGATTCATTGACTCGTTGATTCATTGATTCATTGATTCATTGCTTCATTGATTCATTGATTCATTGGTGCATTGATTCATTGATTCATTGATTCATTGATTCATTGATTCACTGATTCAGTGATTCATTGATTCATTGATTTATTGTGTTTTTTTTTTTTTCGTTCGTTCGTTCCTTCGTTCGTTCGTTCATTCATTCATTCATTCATTTATTTACAGTATTCATTCATTCATTTTTTTTTCATTTATTCATTGATTCGTTGGTTCATTCATTCATTCATGCATGCATGCATTCATTCACCCCTGTAACTGTTCATTCGTTTCGTTTCATTTCATTTCACTTCACTTCATTTCATTCCTTCCTTCATTCATTTATTTATTTTTGGTTTCAAACCCATTCCTTCAATCACTTCGTTCACAATCATTTTGTATGCAGGGAGAGGTGAAGCAAGGGGATGGAATCAGACCGGCACTGTTCATTGCAGTTTTGGAACATGCAATGCAAAAATGGAACCAACGTCTTTCAATTGAAGGCATTGACTTGACATGCTGACCGGCATTCGATATGCTGACGATTTCCTTGTTAATGCAAAATCTGAAGCAGAATTGGTTTTCACGGTAGCAACAAAAACCCTTGATTTTTGAGTTGGATGCCATGGGTTTTGTCGTTGAACAGGTCAAAACCAAAAATATTTTGCACGAAAATGCTTGACTCACCGCTGCACATTGTAATTGGCCAAGGACAAATTGAAGTAGTCGCCCATCGAAACGTTGGGACGATGACGATGGATCACGGCAGCTAAACAAAGTCAAACATGGCTGTGCCAGGCTGGTTTGTACAGGGGATTTTGTATCAACATGTGATCTTGTGGTTGTAGGTTTTTGTCCTTCTTGGATCGTGGTCTCACCTGAGACTCGGACGGGCGGAAAAAAAAAAAATCGGTGTAATTCAGCGCAATTCAGTCCAATCAATCAAGCATTTGTTCATTCCATTGATTGAATTCAATGTTGCTCACTCGTTTGTTTTCTTCGATCCCCTCCGTTCAATTTCATTCAATTCAGTTTCAATTCCTTCCAGCGCACCTTTTCATCTGCTTTCACTCAAGTTCGACCTGCCAACGCCATTTTTTTTTTAATATAGATGTTTTTGTCGTTATAATCACTGTCCTCTTTTTTAAATTTCCGCCCCCCCCTCGTGCAGGCACTACTGGACAATAACTGTTTTGGAAACAATGGTTTGCAGTCCTATGAAAACAAAAAGGCAAATTCCCGGGGCCTTCTACACAGAATGACGAAGAAACACATGCCACCAAGCAAAGCGACAGTGAAAATAGGAATTGATGTGGAAGACGTCTCCCCTAGTCCTCCGCTTGCGATAAATCTAAAAAATTGCGCGTCGAAACAGAAAAGTCGAGGTAACAGCCAAGGTTGGAACGGCGAACAGGTGCAGGATGTGTACCCCAAAACGCGCTCCAATAAAACCAACCGAGAAATGGTTGAGATGAATTGGTATTGGTTCCCTCAAAATCGCACAGTGAGACGACAGCGTTAAAAAGAACCAAATACGGTGGATGGGAGGGAGGGAAAAACGATATTGAAAAAAAACGGAACGACAAGCAGGAACTGGGATATGATCCAAAAGCGGTAACATGGCAGTGGAAGGAACGTATTGTGATGCGACAGTCCTCAAAAGATAGAGGTTTGCGATAAGCACTACCGGTTAGCTAAAGTTTGCGCCCGTGCCTGCAGGAACCACATATCAAAGACACGTGTTTGTTTAAAACAATGTGTTTGTTCTGAAGACATTGCGCCCAGGCAATCAAATTCAACACGTAAACGATACTCAAAATCAACATTGGTGAGGATATGGCAAATCAAGATGTTGCCCTCATAATCGTTTTTGTTTAACAACGCACAATTTCAATGAACCTAGCTGCCAGTTCTGCAAGCCTGTTCTGCAAGCCAATGCAGAACACGATTCCTTCAGACACGTTTGTCATTTATTCCTTGCAAAATGTTCAATGCGGGACCAATGGACGCAAATGCACGACGTAACAACTCCAACATGTCCACCAATTCCTGCCCTGTTTTGCAAGAATCCATGTGTCATGGCCGTACTAAATGGTCGTTGATCCTTCCACCGCCCCAATTTGAAGATCATATTTTTAAGATCAACGGCCTATCAGTCGCCCAAATGTGATGGCAAGAACCACGGCAACCTCGAAAACAAAAGCAATGACAGACTGGCAATGGCAGTGGCAATCTCCAGGGCAACATGGAGAAGGAAAAACCGACAAAGGCAAAGGTAATGGCAACATTGGTGACAAAAATGCTGGCAAAAACATGGCGGGAGCAAAAAGCACAGGAGACAAATTCAATGGCAAAATTTAGGCCACAAATAAAAGCACGTGGCAACACAAACGTCAACGAAAGAGCGACCTTGCATTTTGGGCAAAAGCAATGCCAACATACGGGGGCAAAACAATAGCAAAAATTGCGACAAATTTTAAAGACTGGACTGGCAAGTACGACTTTTGGAAAGGCGCATTTCATGGCCACATGATATTGCATGCAGCCGTTGGTTTCCACCAGCGGTTTTTGAGATTGCACCGTACCGGTTTATTTTTAATCACATAAAATTTTGTGCTGAAAAATTGGTGTGCTTACTGTTCACTGCTGGGCAATCGCCTTTTTTTGTTGTGTTTTGGTCTAATCGTTTTTTTGTGTGTCTCCGCCATGCTGGAAAGTTGTGCCATGCTGGTGGGGCACAGACAGAAAATGTTGAGCAAAATTCTGCCCACGCAGCTGCCCACCTGCAAGTCAAGAAAGGCATTCGTTTTTTGCAAACGTAGATTTTATTTATAACAAAAAATGGACCTCGTTTGTGCTCGTCGCTTTGTAAATTAAATTTCTTATTCAAACA